ACAGTCACTGGCTAACCAGTTAGTGCCTAAAATGATCGTTGTGATGTCTAAGTACTGAAAAACTCAGCCTTTCAAAGGCTACTTCTAGCTGCTTGAAATCAAATGCTTCACTAAATACATTTGTGTAATCCATAAAACAGACCCTTTCATGCTAGCAAGAGAATCAAACCCATTAAGTATAATATCAAAATACTCAAAATCTGGAGGTTTTGGTTAACCTCAAAAGAAAACAATTCTTTGAGTTTACATCTATCATTCAAATTGCAGATAATGCAGATTGAAACATAATTTTATACTGTGAGAAACTGTGAACTGGTTAATTAGACATTCAATTAGTGTCTACCTTTGTGTATTTAAGAACCAAAGGTAAACATTGCTTCAGAAAACAGTCCAAAACTCCAAAATTCACCAAATTTTGACTAAGTCAATGATAAGATGCACTATAGATAGTGTTCATGACCAAATAGGCTAAGGTTTAAGTGAAAAATGTTATTTTATTTAAATAATAGATACAACTGCATAATATACTCCAATAATGTTATTTCATTTAGGGAAAGAAAAACCATTATAGATTTAAAAAAAAACAAAACAGTTTCCCATTGTATTTCCTTCAGTAATTATGTCTCCTAAAGAAAGAAAAAAAAAAAAAAAAAGCTAAGGGTGGTATTATGAAGCCTTTATGTTGTTTGAAATAAAAATTACAGTTCTAACCCCGTATTACTTGGAGAAAAAAAATCTTAGGTAACCAGGAGTTTGGCATGTTTACCTTGAGAAGAGTTATTTTGGCTTTTTATAATTCAAAGAAATTACAGTTCTTGGGTTTGCATAACAACAATATACCTGCTGGATGCTTTTTAGCTGCACTTCTAGAAATAAAAAATTCCAAAGCACTAAATTCATCTTAGAGCTCTTGAAGATTTATTGCAATCTGTTGGCAAGGGTGCTGGTCCAGCTTTCAAATTCACAAAAACTGTCAGGTTGCCCAAATGAGAGCACAACTGGATACTAAAGAGATACACTTGTACAGAAGAATAGATGTATGGATACAGGCAGCAGGATTATTCATTGAGATTATTAGCACACAAATAGAACTTGTTGGATTGGATGCTAGAAATGCAAAGTGGGTCAGTACTTCAGTCAGACAGAAATGAGTGGGTGCTGATTCTGAATATTCTGTCCTAGCCAATTTTAGGCACATACCTCCTGTTCACATTCTAGAAAGATGGAAAAAAAAAAAACAACAGTGAAGCCTCATCACAGAAATAATTCATATTTAGAATTGTTACATTCCAAGTTAATGTGGGAAAAAAAATACTCTAAAAAAAATCAGGTAGTGCCATGGTATGTGTTACCATGAAAATCCCAGAAAAGAGGCATTTCTAAAGGGCATTCCTCAAATCTAAACTCGTCTAACCACAGTATTCTCAGATGCCAACAATCTCTTACAATTCTAAGCTTTCTATAAGCTTCTTTCTAAAACCAAAAGAAAAAAGAAAAGAAACTGACAACAAAAACTACACAAAACAGGATAAGGATGCTCATGAAGCCTGACAGAATATAAGGGGTCAATTTAAGACCTTACTGTCAGCACTAACAACACCTGCATGCCCTGGGGCATTTAGAAGCTGTGTTATAGGTTCACAGCGATCTTACCTGCAAAAATCTTGGGCACCTGAAAGATGATATGGCAGAGAAGTAACAGTTTTGAAAAGTCATGACTTGAGGATCTACATTCAAAAGGGAAAATGAGGCTGCAGTATTGAATTTGTTTTGCAACCTGTCAAGTCTCAAAACTGACAGAGTCTCAGATGTACACAGTAATTCCTGCCCACCTTCCTTCCCACCTGTAACCCATAAATAAAATTTACCTTGTAAAATGTTTGGAATCAAGTGAATTTGGGCTGAGTAACCATTCATAGCTCAGTGGATAGGGCTTTCTACCATGTGTTAACAGATACAGGTAGTCAGTAGAAGACCAATGCTTGCTGAGTCAGCTTAAGCTCATTAATTCTTTCTCCAGGAGGTTACTCCTCACATTTCTTTACAGAGAAGGAAACAACTTTCTAACCAAGGCAGAGCCTAAGGTCTTCCTGCATTTCATGTGTCAGCACTTGAACACTTCTCTTTCACAGAAATTAGAATATAATTCAAGTGTCAAACCACACAAAACTTCAGCAAAGATGTTCTTAAGTAGGTACTGCTTGTTAATGAACTACAAAAATCCCTAACCACTGTAACAGAAGACCACAAATACAGGACAGCATGGAGAAAAGAGACACAACCAGATACTGCCACACAATGACCTACTAGCAAGAGCAACTACTGCTCTTAAATGTAATGCAGGGGAATTGTACTTCACCTTCAGTACACCACCAACTGTTCCATCCATCAGCATTCTGTGGCTTTGTAATTGTCTACAATCGATGGTGTAAAGTCCCCCTGATCACCGATTATTCATTAGGCTAGTATGAAATACAATCTGTTTATGCATCACTATCCCTGTCCTCATCTCAGAAAGCTCACAGGTTCTCTCTCCACATCCTTCTTTCCTGTGACTGCCCTCAGCTACCCTGTTTCATTTCATGCACTCTCTAAAATGTTGACTTGAGGCATATATTAAGCAATTACAGTCACAACCTACTCAGCAGATAACACTGGAGAAAACTGAACCCAAGTCCACTCTGTTCTGAGTTGGTATTAGAAAATTAGTACTCCCTGAAAAAAAAAGATGGCTGTCATCCATGACAAGTGACAGTTAATTAGCATCCAAACCAGAAGCAGTATAAGAAAATGCTAGCTGTTCCTGGATGAAAGACAAAGCACAGATTTCCTTTTGCAACGTGTCAGAACTTTTAGACACGTGAAAAACTGACGTGTTAGTGACTATATCTGACTGTGAACACATGGTATTCTTGAAACACCTGAAGGCACATCTAATAGGAATTCTAGTATAGAGTACAAGATTCATCTGTGCACAGTCTTTGATCAATTCCCATCAACTTCAAATACCTGTCTTCCTTTTTCTAAGGACTACAAGATCAAGCACAGGCTGCAGATCTTCAATAAACTATTGAGAACAAAAAGTACATAAAAAAATTAAATACATAAGTAGATATTAAATGGCCTATTAGGAAGTAGAGGAGATAAGAATCATGATCTTCTCCTTTCCAGTGTAATGGATTAAAATAGCTGTTAACAGCTGTAGGAATACTATATCCATAGATCTTAAAACCAGTCACTAGTATTCAGGTGTAAGTAGATTTCACACCAAAAAGCCTTCCTGGTATAGAGGAGTGCACTAAGAACATGTACACAGCCTGCACAGTTATGCAAAGAGCCTTTCACAGATTCTTTCTATCACAATAAAATTCCTGCAAAATAAGTGGCGATATGTGAAATGCTGAAACAAATACAACTTCTTAATCTTTCTCTCCACTACTGATAACTAAAATATGCTACAAGAATTCAAATAGAGACAATCCTCTCATACTACAGAGAAACTAGGTTAAAACACAGTGACTCAGAACAGAGATGTCAAGTGGTTTGCTTGAATTTTAATGTGTAAACCTATGGGTTAAGGAAATTTAGAATGAAAGCTGTCAAGGGCCTAACCCTTGAACAACCCCAAAGCCCTGAATTCCCACTGAAATAAACAAGCGTCAGTTACGTACTTAGACCTAGCAACACAGGTCTAACCACACAAATGTTTCCATTTTTATCAATTCCTTAACTAGAAAAATCACCTGCTATTCCCTAGTACCCAGTTACTGTTCCATCAAATGGGGCTTTATTTATTGCAAAATAAAATCATCTAACACCGCTAGCACTGAACCAGCGAAATGTATGTCAACAGCCTATGCACACAGAAAAACACAAAAACAGACCATTAGTGAACAATTTTCTAACTAAATTTGAACCTTGCTCATGGAGAGTGGCAAAATATACACTGAAGACCAGGCACCCACCACACCAGAATAAGAGGTTTCATACATAGCAAGCTCGATTGAGAACAAGTTAAATACTGAAAAAAAGGAGACTTGTGCCTTGTGATAATACTGCCAGAGTGCAGTGCATAATATATGTGCATTTAGATGTTTAAAATTGCATGAGAAACAGAATGATAAAGTGGTAATAATCACGATTGCTCTAGCACCATTTCAAATTCTAAGTATTCACAGCTTACGGACTGAAATAGTAAAATATGCACATCTGTGCATCTACAAATCCCTGCAAGTGCATCGCTGTAAGAAAACGTTAAATCTATAGCAAAAACACGGTGTGTGATTGCAAATAGAAATTTCAGAAAACACCATCGACACGGACTTTTCGCAGGACAGACTTCTTTCCGAGTGCTCGGTGCCGAGGGTGTGTTTCCCGGCGGGAGGCACCCGCCTGTCCCTCACCGCTGGCCGGTCCCGGAGGGGCAGCGCCTCGGGGCTCGCCCGCGGGCCGTGCGGCGCCCGGTGCTCAGCGCTGCCGCCCCGGAGCCGGCGGGGGTTGGAGGCGCCGCCTCCCCTCGCAGCGCACGGCGGGTGCGCGGTCGGCCCGCGGCTCCCCGCGGCCGGACGGCGGGGCCGGGCCGGGCCGCTGTCCCGCGGCCGCCGGGGCGAGGCGGCGGCGCCGACGGGGGCGGCCTCGGGGACTCGGGCCGCGGGCGGCAGGGCGGAGGGGCACCTGTATGAGGAGCCGCGCGGGATCGTGCCAAGCAGAGGGCGGCGCATTCGCGGTGGGGCGAAGAAGCGGGGCACATCATCGGGATAGCCGGGAAGGGAGGGCTGCGCGGAGCTCCGGCGCTCGGAGGGGCGTGGAGGAGAGACACGAGGGCACACGCGTGCGGCGGGACAGTGTGAGGGGTGCCGGCACTGCCGGAGCAGCGCCTCAAACTCATCCTCGCCCCTGCGTTCGCCTGGGCTGCGCGGGGGCCCGCGGCCATCGTGGGGATACCCCCGCCCCCACCGCTGCCCGCCGCGGAGCAGCCGGCTGGCCAGAGCGCACCTTACCTCGAAGAGGGGACCGATCTTATTCTTCTCCAGGTAGTCTTGGATCCTCGTCTGCTGGTGAGACGCCATGAAGAGCTCCGGGGGCGGGGGCTTGAGCTCGTCTCCCCCGGCGGCGGCTGCAGTCCCTCCGGCTGCTGGCGGCTCACTCCTCCGCCGCACAGGAGCTGCCACAGCGGGAGAGGGCGGAGGCGCTGCCAAAGTGCCCGGGACGGAGCTAACTCAGGTAACTGGGGGCGGGGGAGAGGAGCCGGCTGCCAGTCGCCCGCTTAAGCCGGGCGCGGGGCTGGCTGCCCTCAAGGAGCAGCGGGCGTGCGCTGCCTGGAGCGGAGCATGGTGCAGGGAGCGGAGGAGCTGCAAAGGCGGCCCCCGAGCCCGCGCCGCTCCGCGCTGCGTGTGTCTGTCAGTCCGTCTCCCTCTGTGTTTCTGTGCCAGGCAGCGCCTTGGCGACGGGAGCGGCCGCGGCTCAGCGCTGCCGCCCTCGGCACAGCGCCGCTGCCGAGGCCGATAGCCGCGGGCTCCTGTCAGCTCCGCGGCCGCCGGCGCCCGTTGACGCCCGGGCTCGGCGCACAAAAGGCGGGAGCGGGGGAAGGGGGAGGAGAGCGGGCGGGAGGCGGGGGCTGCTCTGCCGCCGCCGCTCCCCTGCCCGCCCGGCGACGGGCTTGTCCCCGGTGAAGCAGCAGCCCCCGCTCCCCGCCGGCGTTTGCGGGGTCCCCACCTGGCTCCGGTGCCTCGGGCGGGGGGGAGCGCCGCGGGCCGCCCGGCGTGAGGCACCTGAGCGGCACGCGAAAACTTCGGCTGGGGGAAGGTCGCGGAGCAGTGGAACGAGTCGCGCTGCCAGCAGGGAAGGTGGATGCAATGACTGCAGCCGGGGCTTTTCCATAATTTCTGTTTAAATTATCTTTAAATCTTAAAATGCTACCTTTCTTATGATGCCAATGAAATTACCAATTAGGTACAATGGGCATCTTAATGGGATAATTGGAGTAGCTATGTAGGTGCATCCTGGTCGCAGGTTGTGTTGCGTTCCAGCAAGCATCCAAGGGCGCGATGGAGCAAGTAAAAAATATTAAGCCGGCTTCAGAGAGTACTGAGTTAATGAGTGCATCAAAGAATCAGTGTTTATTCTGTCTTCAAGTAACTAGTATCCCACCATTTCTGGAAGCAGGATCATAACCAGCTTTTTTTTTTTTTTTTTTTTTTTTTTTTCCTTCACTCTATTTAGAGAAGTAAAAAACATGCTTCTTGGGGTTTGACACTTCTGTTCTTCTGCAATAACTGATTTTGCTGTACTAACATAAACCTGTTTGGTAATAAGGATTTTTTTAAATACACAAAACAGCTTTCAAGACTATTGGGAACATTCAGCACATCTGCTGAATCAGACTGCCTCTTCCCAGTCAAGCAGTGTTCTGCAAATGCAAGAGTACAAGCGTCTCCTGATTCAGAAACTGCTAAAGAAAATGATTAATTTTGTCAGGAGTCAAAGATCCTGAGTTCTGCTCCCATAGCCATTGACTCTTGTTTGACTTCAAAGTCCTCCGTACTGACCTAAACCTCAAGCCTCTACCTAGAAGGAGGTCAAGTGTAAATTGTATTACAAAGAGCCTGCAGCACATTCTGTACTGTAAGCAATAGCATGTAGAATTCTTTAATGGTTTTCTGGAATGTGCTCATCCCAGCCTTGCTGAGGCAGTGTTTGTTTCCATAGTAGTCACTTAAAAATGGCACATTTTTTTAATTTGGATTCTCAGTGGGTAATCTTCTAAAATTCATATAATTCAAGAGTTTTAACATATCATCTTCAGCAAAATATTGCCTAGTGCCACCTAAATAATATGGTGTTAAGCTACTTTAATCAGCCTAATGAAGATCATACAATCATAAGGGTAATTGCCAGTGATGCAGGTTCTCTACAATGGCTCTACTGATTCCCATCAGATGAGAATGTTTGTAAAATTTCATAAATCTCACCAGAATCCAGACTGCTCCAATGAGTAAAAGTCTCCCACTTTTTAAAATTATGCCCCCACATGATGCAAAAATGAGAGCTTATGTTTCTATAACCCTACACAGCCTGACTTCTCAAAGTAGCAGCCGTCCAGACCTGCTGAGATATGGCCATTTCAGGACCCGCAAACTGTCACTGCTCTGTGTAGACCAGGAGGAGGACAGAAGAAAAGGAACAAGACTGTCAGCAATATGAGACAGAATGAATAGAAAAGAGAATTTATTAAAAGAGGTTTTAAAGATAGCATAAATGTCTATGGTTACATATTGTACAATTAAATAGATGTCAAGATCTCACTTTTAAAACCTCAGAGTTTTGAGAATTTCTGCATTTTAGTTACTTTTTTCTTTCCTCCCAGTGAATGACAGAATGGTTGAGGTTGGAAGGGACTGGTCCAAGCCCCCTGCTACATCAGACTCACTTGCAGCTCATTGCCCAGCCTTACGTCCAGATGACTTTTGATTATCTACCAAGGATGCTGGATTTTTTTTTGTGTCCGTTGTCATTCTTGCTTCCTTTTTCCCTAGACCATTTTTCCTTCTCTTAATTCTCACCCAGACATATAATCTAGATTTTCCAGTTGGCTTGGGAGACACAGTAGCAGTCCTGCTGTGGCTGGGAAAGCTTCCAAGGCCAAATGTAGAATTAGCTTTCTAAATAGACACATCTTGCAACCCCCACAGCTCCCATGAGAGTTAGTGACAGGTTATCCTTTGATATGGATTAGGTACTTCAGGGAGACAAGAGCACAGACAGTTCCTTACCACGAGCTTCATGCTGCTCTTACCTAGTTGAAGGTCTACAGCAGTTCCCTGACAGTAAAGCTTTCTGAGTGCTAAAATACGGGAGTTCAGGTGTCTCCTGCAGAGAGCATAGGCTGAGTGACATGGTATAATAGGAAAAGGAGCTTCACTGATAGCACTCTTTTCTCTTTTTTTCCAAGAAAGCACAAAAACTGTTGCTAGGCTTATGATGAGCCACACCAAAATAGCAATCAATAAATACCTGTGATTTGCAAATAAGCACAGAAAGCTGGATATGTCCCTGTTGTCCTCTTAGTTGTTAGGAGAAAAACATTTTCAAAATTTAATTAAGATAGTCTTAAGTTTTTAAAACTGGTATTAATACAGTCTTTTAAAATTAACTTTCATCTTAATACCAAAGGAAAAAAAACTCTTGAATTAAAAGTACTGGTTTAGGTATGCTTGAATTTTTTATTACTTTTAGCAACCTTTTTGTATGAGCAACTGAACACTAAGTTACTTTACAACCTAAGTAATAAAATATAGTCTTTGTATTGCACGTTGCTATGGTCCTGTTTAATTTCATGGATATTTTTCTTTCAGGAGCGGTATACAGCATGCACATCTACATAACACTCAGCAGTGAACTGCAAGAACAGAAACGACTGAAAGAATTTGCACACAGGCACCAAAGAATGAAGAGTATCCCAATTAAAAAATATATTCCCCTCACAAAACAAGATTCCCAAAAACAAGGAGAAAGAGTCAAAAGAACAGGGCTACTTTTAAGATGCTCGTGACCACACTCTATTCAGTTTTTATCCTGTGTCTGTGATACCTGAGCTCCCTGCTTCTTACCATTGTTATGTTGGTGGGTTTCTCACCTTGCAATCTTTTCTTCAAGAGAACGGTGTGCATTTTTGATAAGTCGTTTCCAGTTTGACTTACTTAGTTCAAGGACTTTGCTAGAGTAGGGACCCATTAAATAATTCCATGGTAGTCTACATCATTTCAGTCCAGCCATCCATTTTTCAGTTTTTCATGTTTGCTACAGTTCCAATGCTGAGCACTGAATTTTCTAAGTTACAGTCAATTGCAGTACCCATTCATCATTGCCAGAGTTAAGTTACCCAGGATTCACATGCAAAGGTGTTCTTCAGGAGTCAGAGCTGCCACTGCCTAGCAGAAAAGAAAACTGATGACTTGGCTGGCTGTAAAAGTACTCTGTGGGTCACAAATACTGAGTGCCAAGTCAACAATTTTTTTTCTGTTCTGGCTAAAATTTGATCCATATACTCTGTACGAAGTTTATTTTTTGAGATGGCATTTGGAGTACAAAAGAAACATTACAATCTAAGAGAAATATACTGGCAATATATGAATTTATTACAAACCTTTAAATGGCTTTCTAGTTTCCATTAAGTGCTGTATGTTTCAGCTATCAAAAGTAATCAGAAATTCCTTAACAAACCTTTCAAAAACAATTACAGAGAAGAGAAAATGTAGCAGGCACATCAAAAGAGGTAGTATTTATCAAAACCTGATGATATTTTCCTTAGAAAGCTTACTGTTTTGTCAGTGTTTCGTTTCATGTAATAACTCTACAACAAAGAATTCTTCTTCCATTACTGTGATTGTTTCTATTGAGTTTGATATTCTATGCAAAGTCATTATCTGCTTCATGAAGAGCTATGAGCCATTAGTCAACAACTGACTAAATGCAGTTCTTAAAGTATGCTTGTACTTTAAAAAAAAAGGAACTGAAGTTACATCCAGGAGAATAAAATCCCCGAGTTCCTGCACTTTATAAATGAGACATTATTTTTTATTGCCAAAGCATAGCCTTAGAACATTATAAATGCCTGTTGTAAAATGTTCTGAAAAAGCACACATGCACACACACACTGGCTAAATATTGCAGTGCTCCAAGCTGTTTAAAATAATGAAGGTCTAGCAGTTCCTGACCTAGAAAGCTGTCATCTTGCTTTTTATTTAGCATTCCCCTAAAAATGGATCTGCTCAGATAGCATGTTCTCAAAAGAAATTGAAGCATCTTACTGTATTATGCTGAAATACCCAATTTACCTTTTATCCCATATCAAGTTAACTGACAGAATTGGGAATAACATCACTGGAAGGCTGATTTTGTACGCTTAATTTTATCTGGTGGGGTTTTTTTAAATGTACTCAATTAAATGATAATATATCCACAAGCTTGAGTTCAAGCAACATCATACATCTTTCGTATGGTTTTCTATTCACACCAAGATAGCAGCCATGCAACTTCAAAATCTGGACTTGACCCAAACTTGTTGTAAAGAGCAAGAATTTCTTTGCATCTTCATTCTCATAGAGAATTTAACCTGTGTTTTGGATATTTTGTCCTTTATACATTGTGATCTTGACCACAAACAGCCTCTGTGATAAAAGACTTCCTATTCTCTGCAGGGCAGGAGCCCTTGGGAACTTGCAGGCTCTCAATAAGGACAAGAACAAATCACTGTAAAATCCAAGATTCATAAACCCCCACTGTGCTTACGGAGGATGAGTGTCTACCTCTTTGACTCCTCTTATTTTCAGATTTATTCTGTAGTTTGTTTTCATGTATAATGTTCACTTTCCTGCTTCCAGTGATTTGTTCAGGAATGCTCTCATCCTATTCAGAAAAGAAAAATTCCATAGTCAACCTGAAGAATCTAGCTCATATTATATTAGCAATCCAACCATTAATAGAAATCACTACTCTTTCAAGACTT